CATTGAGTGAGGATAAGTAGGGGCAAATTGACAGATGTTCCTTGTTTATTTTTCAAATGCATCTGGTGATACTTAAATGGACCACAGAGCCACAATACTAACACCGTCTATACATGACCTATTATGACGATTTCTTTACATTAAGATATTTATATTAAGTTTGCAGAGCTACAGGAAAAGAGCCAATTTTAGTTCTAAAATGATTCCAAGTAAGAAAGGTAGGAGAAATACCAAAATGTTAGGGGCACCTGGGTGGCACAGTCCATTGAGCATCAGACTCTTGGTTTTAGCTCAGGTCATGATCCCAGGGTTGTGAGCTCGAGCCCCGCATCAGGCTCCACGCTCATCACGGAGTCTGCTTGGGATTCTCTCTCCCCCTCTCCCTTTGTCCCTTGCCCCACCCAACCCTAAAATAAATAAATCTTTAAAAAAAAAACCAAAATGTTAGTTTGGGGACTTAAATCCTGGCATTGGAGGACTCTAGAAGAAATCAGGATGTAGGCCAGTTGATGAATAGTATTAAAATCTAATAACTATAAACGTGTTACTGAGACATACTTTTCTCTATAGTCATCTCCATTTTTACCAAAGATAGCCAAACCAACACTGATTTGATTGCAAAAGCCTAACAAAAACACTTGTCCTGGGGGGCACCTGGGTGGCTCAGTGGGTTAAGCGGTTGCTTTTGGCTCAGGCCATGATCTGATAGTCCTGGGTTAGAGCCCTGCATCAGGGTCCCTGTAGGGTGGAAAGCCTGCTTCTCCCTCTGCCCCTCGCCCCTCTCCTGTGCTCATTCTCTCTGTCTCTCTCGCTCTCCCTCTCAAATAAATAAAACCATAAAAAAAAAAAAAACCCTTGTCCTGATTATTTACATAAATGAGGAAGAATAGAGTTTGACCTATCAAATCTTTAAAAATGGCTTTTCTGGAACTTTTTTTTTTTTTTTTAAAGATTTATTTATTTATTTATTTGAGAGAGAGAATGAGAGATAGAGAGCATGAGAGGGGGAGGGTCAGAGGGAGAAGCAGACTCTCTGCTGAGCAGGGAGCCCGATGCGGGACTCGATCCCGGGACTCCAGGATCATGACCTGAGCCGAAGGCAGTCGCTTAACCAACTGAGCCACCCAGGCGCCCTGGAACTTTTCATAAGGAATCTCAAGATTGAACATTCAATAGCTTCTCCACACCAGGAGCCATGCCATGAACTTGCTACCAGACTTTGTCTACAATAACAACAGATCTGGGTAAATTCCTCTCTTCATGAAGACCCCTAACTATCCCTGGGTTCCTGCACCTCTTAGGAAATTACCTTCCTTGCTCTCCTGGTAAGGCTGCTGGGAACTCCGTAAACAAGGTGTCAGGTTGATATTTCCAAGGGGGCTTTATTGGCTCCATAAAGTCAATCTTAGTTCCTTATAGCTGTCATCATATCTGAATCTATGCAGCTCTTCCTCAGCGATGACATTCTAGTCAAAGCCTTGGTTATATAACCAGTGTTTTCAATTGTGTATCCTACCAATGAAAACAGATTCTTATTGAAATTGCAATTGCAAATACATATATTGGCTAAAATATAATAGTTACTTCGACTTTCTGGATTCTGGAATAATCAGGTAGGGAGAAAAGATAAAATATTTCAATTTGTTTACAAAGGTATATTTTATGCCCTGGTGCAAGTCAGTTAGGAGAAAAGTTTACTTGGGGTGCCTGGGTGGCTTGGATGGTTGAGCATCTGCCTTTGGCTCAGGTCACAATCTAGGGGTCCCGGGATCGAGTCTGGCATCGGGCTCCCTGCTCAGTGGGGAGCCTGCTTCTCCCTCTCCCTCTGCTTCTCCCCCTGCTTGGGCTTTTTCTCTCTCAAATGAATAAATAAAATCTTTTAAAAAAAAAGTTTTCTTAAACCTGTAAAAAACAAAACATTTAAAAGGACTTTTTCCAATTCCGGTTAGTTAATATACATTGTAACATTAGTTCCAGGTGTAGAATAGTGGCTCAACAATTGCACGCAACACCCAGTGCTCAAAACAAATGCACGACTTGATTCCCGTCCTTTATTTCACCCATCCCCCAACCGAACTCCACTCTGGTAACCATCAGTTTCTCCTCTATACTTAAGGGTGTGTTTCATGATTTGCCGATCTTCTATTTTTCTCTTGGCTTCCTTCTTATAGTCCACATATGAGTGAAAATATATGGTATTTCTCTTTGCACCATCCATGTCATTGCAAACGGCAAGATTAAATTCCTTTTTATGGCGGAGTATTATTCCATTACCTCACCCACCCACCCACACATACACACAATGTCTTCTTCCTTCATTAACCAGTCAGTGAATACTTGGGCCTGAATGTTTGAACAGAAATGCTCACTGCCACTGACTGTTGAACCGCTCCTCCAACAAATCCATGGCACAGAGCCAGAGAATGGGACTATACCCATAATGGGGCTGACTGAAGTGAAGAAAGTCCTGCAGAGCACTGCATCAACTTTCATGAAATGTCACCCAGCTACAGTGGATCTAAACTTGATTGGGGTTATATACCTGGGATACTAGTGCTTGGGTGCAACCACAGCACATGCCTTGCTGATCCTGCCTATGCCACCGTCTAAAAGGCTTCTTCATCTCTAAAACCTACTTTGCCATGGGATATTTGTTTTTTAAGAATTCTATTTGAGAGAGTGAGAGCATGAGAGGGGGGAGGGTCAGAGGGAGAAGCAGACTCCCCGCCGAGCAGGGAGCCTGATGTGGGGCTCGATCCCGGGACCCCAGGATCATGACCTGAGCCGAAGGCAGTCGTTTAACAGACTGAGCCACCCAGGCACCCCTACCATGGGATATTTTTTTAAAAGACTTTTAATTAATCAGAGAGAGAGAGAGCACAAGCAGGGGAAGCGGGAGGCAGACCAGGCAGAGGGAGAAGCAGGCTCTGCGCTGAGAAGAGCTCAATGCCAGACTCGATCCCAGGACCTTGGGATCATGACCTGAGCTGAAGGCAGATGCTTAACTGACTGAGCCATCCTGGCATCCCTACCATGTGATATTTTAAAGCTACGCCCAAATGATTATATCATCCAATATCCCTCCTCCATCAATTACCACTGATCTAGAACTGGGCAAACAGTCATCGTTATCCAAAAGAATAGGGTCCTCAGTAACACAAAGAAATTCAATTTAATCATGAAAACACAGTAGGAGTCCCCTACCCTTCAGAAACCCACATTTGCCAATTCCTTATCCCCATTACATGTATTCATCAGATGACACCACCAAAAGCTGTGTGTGCCTTTGGAGTGGCTAGAGGGAGCCACCTCTGTCTGGTTCCCTCCCCACATTGGAAAGAGTTCTTCACATTTTTTTTTTTCTAAGATTTTATTTGAGAGAAAGAGACTGCATATGTAGGGGGACACAGGCCAAGAAAGAGAGAGAAGCAGACTCCTTGCCGAGCAGGGAGTCCGACGAGGGGCTCAATCCAAGGACCCTGGGATCATGACCTGAGCCGAAAGCAGACACTTAACCAACTGAGCCACCCAGGCCCCCCTCACATTTTCTTTTAATAGATCTTTCTAAGGATGGTGCCTTCATTGTGTTTTACAACCCTGTGTTAAAGGTCTGAATACCCATTGGCCTTCCATTTCTCTAATCTCAATTCAGTGTTTACTTAGGAAACTCTAGCCACAGCACAAGCAAAGAAGAATGTTTGTGATGCCTAAATAACTGGAAACAAAACTGAGGATTAGAACTGGAGATCTGGAGATAAATAGGAAAATAAGTAGAAGTTATTTTTCTAAATCCAAGGAGTCAGTTGTGCAACCCAAGAAAGGTATCCTCTCTCCACATGCAGAATTCATGCCAATTATTCATCTTCTGTATTTTCTACCTCTTACTTGAGGCTACAGTATCACTCCTATTGGAATGTTTCTCCTACTTATAGGGTACCTATGACACACCAAGAATTAATAAGAGTGTATGCTTACTTCATAGAAAAATTAAAACAACACCCCCATGTATGAAGCGGGGCACATACCTTTATTTGGGGCCACGGTACAGTGCTTTAACAGCCCAAGACTAAGTCCAGATTGAGTCATTCAAACTAAAACAGGTTTAGGTAAGCTCTGTGGGAGTCTTCTCTAAAGGACACATGAGGGAAAGTCATGGCAGTCAGGGGACATGTTTGCTCATAAGGGTGGACTGGGGATGTGAACAGAAGTTACAGTAACTTGTGATTCTGCAGAGTGTTGTCTAGGGAACACAACAGTGAGAAGGGCAGGTGTCAGTTCAAGGCCCCTGCAAAAGTACTGCCTACATAAAATGTATCCCAAGTAGATTATGGAGTACTTGTCAATAAGACGCCCATATAATCTGTAATATGTCCATGATAATATCCCACTAATTCCTAAGAGGAGAAAATGATACAATAGATGAACTAGGGTAAAAATAATCACACATTATTTAAACTTCAAGGACAATGAAAAAATGGATGACTAGGTATATTATTCAACTCCATTACCAAATATGTGATAGATTCCATCAGTTACCTACAACCTTTAGATAGGTTAACATTGGTGGTGGGATAACACTTCATTACTCATCCATGGTAATACATTAAAAATCAATTATTGTTTTATTAATTAAGCTCACACATGAACTAAGTTATGAATTTCAAATGCACTCTATGATCCTTATTCAAAATACAGAATCCAAATGTTAAAAAGCACTCGTATGCGGATATAATGATGTGGAAGTAGTGACTTCCATAATTTTCAGGCATGAGGTCATTGTTAAAAAATTGGTATATAATTTGTGTATATATAATTATATACCATTTTAGAGAAGAATTAGCTATCCACTTTCTGACATCTGTGAAGATTTCTTCATTTCAACCACATCAACTGACATTCTCTACTTGTAACAATAGCTATTATGAGGATACATCAGTATTTTACTGGACTGCTACCTTTTTCCTCAAAAAACCAGATGGTAAAATATTTTATTTATAATATCCAGGAAGTTCTTTAGCTTTATTAAAAGAATGTTTTTCTGAACACCTCTTTCATGATAATTGACATTAATGTTATAACCGCAAACATCATCTCCATTTAGATTTTCTTCATATATTGTATATTATATTGTACTTCTTCTTCCATGGACAATTAGATATGTGAGTCCCAACAAATGAAGAAGGGCATCTCATATCTTTGATACAGCAACACACGCACTAGGAATAAATGAATTTCATGAAATGATTTGAGAGTACAAATACATTAATATTTGCTAGTCACAAATCCCAGATAGGACAAATGAAAAAAAAAGCACATACTGAAATTAATTATACTAATGTAAAAATCCATCCACTTAAACCTTTGAAGCATAATAGCACATACACTAAGTGTTTAACTTTATATTATTCCTTATAAGGAATATTTTTATGTAACATCTGAATAGATTAATTCCTATACTGCCTTCTACTTGATTTCTGTGATATTTATTGACATTCGATGTTCACTTACATACATTTCTAAATATTTACATCTTTCAAGTTGCTTTCATTTATGTATTCTCTGGTGTTTGCTACAGTGAATATTTAAAATGAAGGTCTTTCCTCATTCATTATGTTTCTAGGGTTTGAATCTAGGATGCATTTTGGAATACTGAGTGACTGAATTCCAGTTAAAGGCACTGCAACTTTGTCTGAATTTAACAGTTTCTATCCTGTATGATAATTATGATGTTGAGCAATTTGTGAATTCCAGCTAGAGGCTTGCGACACTCCTTATATTATAATCTTTCTCCTCAGCATACGTGCTGCCGAAGCGACCACTCTTTCTCCTCGGTATAAACTCTGAGATACAGACAAGGGTTGAGCAGTTTAAAAGTTTCCCCATGTTCTTTACATTTATAACTTTTTCCCCCGTATGAATTCTGTGATGTTGAATGAGGCCTGACCTCTTATGAAAGACCATGCCAAATTCTTTGTATTTGCAAAATCCACTCCAGCATACATTCTCTGATCAGGAATCAGGGTTTAACATTGCTTAAAGGCCTTGCCACATTCTTAACAATTTTATGGTTCCTCTCCACTATGAATTCTCTGATGTGGAGTAAGGGGTGAGTAGTCTTTAAATGTTTTCTCACATTCTTTTACATTTGTAATGTTTGTTCCACTATGAATTCTGTGGTAATGAGTAAAGGTTGAACAGTGATTAAAGGCTTTCCCACATTCTTTACTTAGGTAAGGTTTCCATCATCAAGTATGAGTTCTGTGATGTTGACGCAGGTGTGAGTGCTGGATAAAGGCATGGCCACATTCCTTACATATGTAAGGTCTCTCTCCAGTATGAATTCTGTGATGTCGAGTCAGGTGTGAGTGCCGGTTAAAGGCCTTTCCACATTCTTTGCATACGAAAGGTCTCTCTCCAGTATGAATTCTGTGATGTTCAGTAAGCTTTGAGTGCTGGTTAAAGGCCTTGCCACATTCTTTACATTGGTAAGGTCTCTCTCCAGTATGAATTCTGTGATGTCGAATAAGGTATGAGTGCCGGTTAAAGGCCTTGCCACATTCTTTACATATGTAAGGTTTCTCTCCAGTATGAATTCTGTGATGTTGAGTAAGGTTTGAATGCAGGTTAAAGGCCTTGCCACATTCTTTACATATGTAAGGTTTTTCACCACTGTGAATTCTGTGATGTTGAGTAAGGCTTGAGTGATGGTTAAAGGCCTGGCCACATTCTTTACATTTGTATGGTTTCTCTCCAGTATGAATTCTGTGATGCTGAGTAAGGTTTGAGTGCTGGTTAAAGGCCTTGCCACATTCTTCACATTGGTAAGGTTTCTCTCCAGTATGAATTCTTTGATGTCGAGTAAGCATTGAGAGCTGGTTAAAGGACTTGCCACATTCTTTACATTGGTAAGGTTTCTCTCCAATATGCATTGGTTGATGTTGAGATAGTGTTGAGTGCCAGTCAAAGGCTTTGCCACATTCTTCACAAATATAAGTTTTCTGTCCAGTAGCGACTGTGTTATGTATGTTTAGTCCTGATGCTTGGCTAAACATGTTCCCAGGTTTATTACATCTGTATGAGTTTTTTTCCATGTGAATTCTCTGATAATCACCAACATTGGAGGACTGGTTAACGGATTTCCCATATTCATTATATTTATAAGGATTCTCTCCCAAAGGGATACTCTTATATATAATAAGGTTGGAGCTTTGATAAAACACTTCCTCAAATTTATCAAAATTAAAATGGTTCTCTGGGAAATGAGTCCTCACAGGTTTATAAACATTTGAACACTGGTTAAATTTTCTTGCAGATTCGCTACATTGAGCAATTCTGTTTTCATTGAATATGTTCTGGTAATTTTGTAGAGTCAACTCCCCGGTGAAGGACCTCTCAAATGGATCCCACATAGCACTTTGTTCTTCATTTTTAAATCTCTGATTTTCAGAAATATTTGACTCAAATGTCAATCCAATCCTACTTTCAAAATGGTTCAAATAATTATTTTCAGCATGAACTAGATAACTTTCCAGATTTTCCAAATTTTCGTTCTCCAGATATGTATGTTTGACCATTTGATTTAAGCCCTTGCTTACAGACACAAACTGCTTTGCAGAAGAAGCAGGATTAAGAAGGGATGTTTTCCAAAGCGTTTTATATCCTTCATCATTTTGGGCAGTGAGATTCATATTATGGACAGTTGTCTCAGTTTGGATATGTCCTTCATGATATCTTTCATGCCCTTTACTCTCCCCATCATTTTTCCAGTCTATCATTAAGTGTAAATCCTCAAGGGCACTATGCTTATATCTACCCACTGCCACGTTTTGGAAAGAAGCTTCTATGCACAGCTTTGGCAGGAAATTCTGGGTGCCATTTGAAGATACAGCTGAAAGATATTGAATAAGAGAAAAGTAAAATCATTCCACTTACTACTCTCAGATGAATATAATGAAAACTTCTAGTATGGAAAAATAAAATCAATCAGAGAACTTCAGCAAGATGGCTGAGAAGGAATCATCAGGACTTCATTCCTCCAGGGACACATAAACTTGCAGACATATACCCGTAACACAGCCTAACATACGGTTCTGTAGTATGGTCATGCTGGAGCACACATCACTTTCCTATACCTAAAAAATCAGGAAAAGTACCAGTCGAGCCTAAAATTAGCAGCAGGAACTAAATTTAAACTTAAAATACAAATAAAACAAGATATAGCAAAAACAGAAAAATATCAACAATAGGAATAGTTTGTGTTCAGAAAAGAGCAAAAGCATTGACATACTTTTAACTAAATCAAGTAAGAATGAAAGAGAAGACCAACTAAAATCAGAAGTGAAGACGTGAAAGCACAGTATAACCGATACCATAGAAATAAGAAAATTATAAGAGGTGATGATGGATAATTATATGCCCAGAGATAGATAACCAAACAAGGTGTATAAATTTTTAAAAAAACGTACAATCTATGTGACTCCATCATGAATTTAAAACAAAACAAAAGAAAAACCCTGATCTATCAATATGGTAGATTGAAGTAAATTGAGTAGATTGAAAAAGAAAAAAAAAAAAAAAGTCCAACAAAGAGAAGTCCTGTGCCAGATGAATTCACTGGATAATTCAAAGAAACATGTAATGAGAAAGTATTTCAAATCCCTCCAGCATTTCCAAGAGGTGAAGAGAAGGGAAATTATCAAACACTCTGTGACACCAGCATTACCACGTTAACAAAGCCAAGGAAGATATTATAAGCAAAGAAAACTACAAATTGCTAAATTAAAGAATAGCCAGGTAAATGCAACAATAAAAGGAAGCAGACCAAATCAAAAGCACATTTTACTATTTTACAACATAATCAAGTGAGAATTCTTCCTGGAATCCAAGTGTGTTTCAATATACCGAAATCTATAAACTTAAGATTGCACATTAATAGAATGAAGATCAAACATGACATCATATTAATTCATGTAGAACAAGAATGTGAGCATACGGGACACCATTTCATGATTAAAAATACTCAATAGTAGGAATAGAAAGAAACTAACCCCACCTAATAAAGGCCATATATGTACAAAAAGCAGATATCTAACATATTTGATAGTAAAAGACTGAAAACTTCTCTATAATCAGACACAAGGCAATAAAGAGCCTTCGTCACTTCCAACCAACATAGTACTAGATATTCTAGTCAAAACAATTAGGCAAGAAAAAATACATAAAAGGAATCCAATTGAAAAGAGAAAGAAAGCTATCTCTGTTCACAGATGACATGATCAACAGAAAACCCTAAAGAGGGGCACTAGGTGGTTCAGTTGTTACGCGTCTGCCTTTGGCTCAGGTCATGATCCCAGGGTCCTGGGATCGAGCCCCGCGTCCTGGGATCGAGCCCTGCATCGGGCTCCATGCTACGCAGGAAGCCTGCTTCTCCCTCTCCTGCTCCCCCTGCTTATGTTCTCTCTCTCGCTGTGTCTCTCTGTCAAATAAATAAATAAAATCTTAAAGAAAAAAAAAAAGAAAACCCTAAAGAATCCTTTTCATTTGTATGCTATTTCATTTTTTTATCATCACTTATATTGTTTATTTCTGCCAATTTTCCCTAGTAGACGTTCCATTTTTAAATTTTCTTATGCTTAAATGCTTAAGAAAAGAAGTTCAAATAAGCAACTTAATATTATACCACAATGAACTAGAAAAGAAGAAACATCACTGATACTTAGATGAGGAAGTAAATAACAAAGAAAAATCAGAAATAAACAGATCAGAATAAATAATAACATAATATTGAAAGTAATGCGGTCTCTAGCAAAATCCAAATGCCATTTTTGGCAGAAAGAACAAAACCCCTCCTAACATTCATATGATGGCACAGGATAACACATACCCAGAACAATCTTGAAAATGAAGAGTTCATTGGTGGCACCACAGTTCCTGATTTAAAACATATTACAAAGACACAGTTAACAAAATAATGAACTATAAAGATAGGCATAGACTAATGGAAGAGAGTAGGTGAGCTAGAGGTCTACTTTTTCAGTATTAATGTGTATGACAATTAACTGAAGATCTTGTTAAAATTCATATTCTGATTTGGATTTCTAGGTTGGGTCTGAGTTTCCATATTCCCCGCAAGCTAGTAAGTGATGCCAACATCTTAGTTCAAGAGCCACAATATTAAATTAAAAAAAAAAATAGAGAAAATCATGAATGATTTTGAACTTAGAGAATATTGTAAAAATTACAACTTCTAACATCAAGAACAGAAACAATTCCTCTTGAACATATACTACCCACTACATAACATTCTAACATTTTTTCATAAATTCACCCATGAATCCACACTAACCTATGTGAAGAGTAGAATTGTTCTTCATCTTTCAAAAAAATATCTTGGCAAAACTTCAGTAATAGTAGAGCCTGAGTTTTACCCCAGATTGACGTTGAATTCATGTAAAAGGAACAGAGACCAGTATACAGAGGCACCTCTAAAATGTTCACAGTAGGTTGCAAAGTGACAATGGGAATGCAAACATGATTAAATCACAGAACATTATCAATTAAAAGAGGTAAGGATAAAACAGAACACAGAAAAAATTACAAATAAAATTAAAAAGAATAAAAATGATAGACCAAAGTTTTTTTTATTGTCCTTGAATCTAAGAAATGTCTTCAGGGGCATAAAACTTACAAATCCATTTGTGGATGAAGGGTTTTGTTGTCTTGCAAACACACCACAGAGACAAACACACAATGATAGAAATGAAATACCTATTGTTTTTGAGTGTCTTATAGTATTGAAAGTTTTTGCTCATTTACCTTTGTGCTGAGTTAAATCTTACAATTTTAGGGCAGTGGAACATGTATGATGCATGCTTTCCTTCCACAGAGCAACAGAGAAATGCTAAGGAAGCGGTCTCAGGAGAGAGCCTTCATTTTGAAAGCAGACTACAAAGTGGAACAGAAGGGCGTTTCCAGATTAAATGAGATGATTTATGCACATCTTTCAGTAAATCCTCCCAAGGTATGTGATGATAAATGAGAAAAATTATTAATCTTATAGTGGAGGGATGTGACATACAGGGCAGCGGAAATCAAGTGCATGAACCTGTAATGGGTCACACTGGTGTCAGGTGCCTAAGGTTCTTCAAAGGAAGCATAAAAGTGCTATGAAATAAATGTCTAAAACTACAACTAAGTAAATCATAATCTAAATGGAAACCTGAAAACATCCATTTCATTCAAATATCAAGTCACATATAGGACCCATACACTGTAATCTGGAATAGTGTATGTAAACTATGTCTTTCGTGTGTGATCACAGACTTTCACAGGCTCCTCTTTGCATTCTGATCAGCTCAATCACAGAGGCTTTTCCTGAGATCCAGACATGGGAGGTTAACCGATGTACAAGAATCGCGGAACTCTCATCTCCTGTAGGTACCCTGCCCTCACTTCCTAACATCCTTGAGGGTTCCTCAAACACTGTGGGATTCTCCACTGCAACACAGATGGACTGGGAGTTCAGATACAAGTCCCAGTCCTCATGTTGACTGATGTCTTCTCCAATTTTTGTCTCTCAAGGATGATGTTCTTCTATTCTAACCTGTGAGGGCCCATAGCAAGGTACATCTATGTACAAACGTGAATGATCTAGGGGCGCCTGGGTGCTTGACTTGGTTAAGAGACTGACTTCAGCTCAGGTCCTGAACTCAGGGTCCTGGAATTGAGCACCCAGTAAAACCCCATGTGGAACCCCGCAAAGGGCTCTGGGCTCAGCAGGGAGTCTGCTTGTACCTCTGCACCTCCTCCTGCTCTCTCAATAAATAAATAAACCTTTAAGACAACCAAACAAACACAAAGTTATTGATCTACTCAAGTGGAGGAAGAATAGGCAAAGTTCATTTAACACCAGAGCTGAATCCATGGCTCCCTTACCTCATTTATCTCTCAGGTTTAACCAAAGAATGATAAAAATGATTCCTTTCTAGGTGGTGGAGAAAAACAAGGAGGCAGCACACCTCACATGGGAACCAAGAGACTGAATCAAGGCTGCATGGAATCCAGCTTCAGTTCAATGAAGAGCACTAAGTATACTTAAAACAAAAACAAAAAATACTTCTGTAATCTGAAGCACACTACCAGTTCCGGGCAGTCAAACCTTGAGAATGTATGCTCCACACAAAATTCCAGGTCTGCATCAGAGAAGATGAACAGTTTCAAAGAGTCTCTCAACTTAGGGAAGAGGACCAAATAGGTGGGCCTGGAGTCCTTCCCTCCCTTCACTTTTCATTCAACCTAGTGTCACTCCTGCAGGGTGAACAGGATCCGCCACTCCTCTCTGGGGCTCCTTTTATTTCTCCTTCTTCCTGTCACCACGCCGAACATATTCTTGGAAACAGTTCCCACTTTGACAAGTAATGCAGGAACAATCTGCTTCTGGTGCAACAGTGGATTTCGTAGCATGGACAACACAGATTCCGTAGTCTTTAAAAACACCAAGTTTTCCCTACACTTTTACTAATGCCCACTGCTTCAGGGTACAGAATCTCTTCTGTTTTCCATGCAAGCCTCCTCCTAAAAATTGACTTTGCCTAAAATCAACACAGGCAGGAAAATCAGTTGCCCTTTCCAATATCCCCAAAAGAATTCACTCATACAGAAAAGCCTTCATGAGACATGTGGTCATTGTTACATACATGTTAATGGTTGAGAAATGAGAGAGAGCACCTTGTGGGAAAAACAATTTAAGAAGCTCTAACAAAAATTACTGTTCTTCCATCTACCTCCCAGGTTAGCCTGTGGGGACTCTAGGCTCTCCCATGTCCTCCTGTTTACTTCTCCAACCTGCTAGACACACTCTCCTCCACAATTCACATTTTATCCATTGTG